TTTTTTTTTTTTTGGAGAGGTTTTTGCTATAGCATGCATGCACTCACCAGAAAGACAGAGAGAGACAGAGAGACAGAAAGAGAGACATCACCCCTCAGGAGGGATGGCCACGCCACAATCCCTTCTCCTCCATTTTCCTCTGGGGACTTTGAGCACTCACGCACGCGCGCCAGGCGTGAATTTAAGCCACTGGATCTTGGACTTGAACCGTGGTCGGCTACATGGGAGTTCAATGACATAGCCATTAAGTTTACATTTTTGTAGAGGCTCTGTTTGTTTGAGTGGTAACCAGCTCAGGGCTCATGTGAGATGAACTCTTTTTTTTTCTTTCTTTCTAAAAACAATGGAGGAGTGGTTATAACTCTTCAGAAAAATTCTAGAATGTTTCCCAAAGGGTGATTTGTACACATTCTCATAAAATCCAGGCTAATACAGTCTAGTTTGGACTAATTAGAGGCTAATCTTAGTAATTTATAAAGGGCATAACACGAGGCCAGTCACTAAGTTGGTTAATGTGACTGAATCACACATGGCCAACCCAGCAACTTGAGTTGCTCACATCAGCTCACAAAACATGCTGGGTGGGGCCAGTGGGTGGTGTGGTGGTTAAGGTGCTAGACTCCCATGTGGCTGAATGTGGTTTGAGTCCTGGACCTGGTAGTTTGGTTTCTGACTTTCCCTTTCTCTTTCTCTCTGTCTTCTCTGATCAAATTTTAAAACAATAATAAAATAAAATAATTTCTCTAAAAAACCTGGCACATATGTGTGTATGCCCAAAATTCAAAATGGTGGTAGAGATGGAGACAAAATTGCATCATGACCATTCTCTATGGGGGGTGATTTCTCACTTCCCCTCTCTAGCTTTCTCTTGCAAATGCACATTCCTTGTAGAAAAAATAATTTTGTAAAGAGTTATTCATTTCATTATATTTGTTATTTTTTTTAATTTGGCCAAGGAGAGACAGAGACAGAGAGAAAGCAAGTCACCAGTTCCAAGACTAGAACCGCAATCAGCCATGTGGGAGTCCAGCACCCTTATAATCACATCACCTGCTGGCCCCTTGTAGGAAAAGTTTTAAAAGGATGTTATATTGATGGATAGCTTTAGGTACTTGATAATGGTGGTGGTAGTATAAGGGGATGCATTTTTCCAAGTTTATCCAAATATGCACATTAAATATGCAATTTTTTGGATGCTATTTACAGCTCAATAAAGCTTTTTAAAAGGGAAAAAATCTGTTTTGTTATCTTTATTTTGGACATCTTTCTTTTTCTTTTTTTTTTTTTTTTGAGAGATTTTTGCTATAGGGCACGTGTGCTCGCCAGACAGACAGAGACAGAGAGACAAAGCAAGAAATCGTCCCCCCCAGGGGGAATGGCCATGCCGCAATCTCTTCTCCTCCATTCTTCTCTTGGGATCTTGGGCACGCACACATGCACACACGCCTGGCGTGACTTTAAGCCACCGGGTCCGGGACTTCAACCGCGGTCAACTACCTGGGAGTCCAGCAATATAGCCATTACACTAACTGCTGGTCCCAAAACTTTTAAATTTTAAATAGGTTTTTTGTTTGTTTTTCCTAGAAGACATGTTCCCTTGCCAGAGAAAATGAGACAGTAAGGCAGGAAGATGAAAAACCACCCTACATGTGGAATGATCTGGCTGAAATCCTTTCTCCATTTCTCTCACCTTTTTGGATTTGGGGCATGTATACACACATGCCTGGTATGTTTCTGAGACCTCCAGGTCTGGGACTTGAGCCATGTGGAATCCAGCTGCCTTATTCACCAGGCCATGGAACTAGCTCACTAAAGAGATTGTTTTTTTACAAGAATTATTTATTTAATTTTATCTATTATTTTTATTTTTAATTTGCTATAGGGCATATGTGCTCATGAGAGAGAGAGCCAAAGAGTGAAGAGAGAGAAAAAAGTGAGAAAGCAGGGTGCCAGGTCTGGGATTCAAATTGCAGTTGTCCATGTGGGAGTCTAGTGACATAACCACAATGCCACTTGCTGGCCTCACTAAAAATTGTGTGTGTGTGTGTGTGTGTGAGAGAGAGAGAGAGAGAGAGAGAGAGAGAGAGAGAGAAAGATATTTCCCTCAAATAAATAACTTGATTTCTCTACCTTTTAATAAACCATGTATTTAGATGTTCTCTAGTATATAGCTACTGATATAACTATATAAATTTCCATAACAAATTACCCCAAAATTGTATAACTTAAAGCAGCAAACATTTGTCATCTCTCTGCTGGGTCAGGGACTCGGACCAATGTCAAATACTTGGGAGTCCAGTGACATAACCATTATGCCATCCGCTCACCCCAGTAAAAAGATTTTTAATGAAGCATGTTAGCCTCTTAACTTTTGAATTGATGACATTATTTTGCAGAAAATAACTGCCTTTTATGTTTACTCAACAGTTCTTTCAGTATTTTAATGATTAGAATAGAAACACTAATATTTTACACATCCATCTTGGTGAAATTACTTGCTTTTCCAAGAGTTAACTTCAAATTTGCTCAATCTGCAAATCAAATGCTGTTATTATTAGTACAAGTGGAAATCAGATGGAAACTAAACTTTCTGATGCTTATTTGTATATATGTTTATTGTACTTGCTTGTTTTGGTCAACAAATTTGCCTAATGTAATTGTCCTTTTTCCATAAAGATGTTTTATACAAAATATATAAATTTAGTGTTTATTTTTAAATTATGTATATTACTTTATTAATCATTTTTATGATTTTTAAGTTTTCTACAGGGCATGTGTGCTTCCCAAAGAGAGACAGAGAATGAGACAGAGAAGGAAAGTGAGAAAGCAAGTCACGAGGTCTAAGACTCTAACCATAGTTGACCATGTGGGGGTCCAGGCTTTGACCAATTTTGCCGGGTGCTGGTTCTATGACTCAGTGTTTATTTAAAATATAAACTTATTTACGGGAACCAGCAGTTAGCATAATGGCTATGTCGCTGGACTCCCACGTAGTCAACTGCGGTTCGCGTCCTGGACCCGGTGGTTTAAAACTCAGGCCGGGCGCATGTGCGTGCATGCCCAAGATCCCAAGAGGAGAATAGAGGAGAAGGGATTGCGGGGTGACCATCCCCCCTGGGGGGTGATTTCTCACTTTCTGTCTTTATGTCTCTGTCTGTCTAGTGAGCGCACGTGCCCTATAGTGAAAACCTCTCCAAAAAAACAAAAAACACTATAT